TGTCAGCACATTGCCTATCTGATGTGGAAAAAGAAAAAAGAAAAATGTACTTTGGAATCAGATGTGCTCTTGTGGTCCTAGCTACTCGAGAGCCTGAGGCAGGAGGATCTCTTGCAACCAGGAGTTCAAGGCTGTACTGTGCTATGATCATATCTGTGGATAATAGCCATTGCACTCCAGTCAGAGCAACATAGTGAGGCCTCATCTTTTTTTCTTTTCTTTTTTTTTTTTTTTTTTGTGAGACAGATCTTGGCTCACTGCAACCTCTGCCTCTCAGGCTCAAGCAATTCTTTTGCCTCAGTCTCCCGAGTAGCTGGGATTACAGGCATGCATCACCATGCCCAGCTAATTTATGTGTTTTGGTAGAGACAGGATTTCACCATGTGGGCCAGGCTGGTCTTGAACTCCTGACCTCAAGTGATCTGTCCACCTCAGCCTCCCAAAGTGCTGGGATGACAGGCGTGAGCCACTGCGCCTAGCCCATCTCTTAAATAAAATAGTACATTGATTAATGTTAAAAAAAAAAAAAAGGAAACTAATTTAAATAAAATATTAAGCAAAAAATAGTATAGGTGGTCAGTTGACATGGAAAAAGTTGTGCAGAAGATGCAAGACTAAAGTTTGGAAAAGTACTGCAATGTCATATTGGACACGTTTCTTAACTCTCTCATCCTGATTCCTGGCCATTTACAGATGAATGAGCTGTGGCTCAGAGAGGTTAAGTAACTTGCCTGGAGTCACAGAGCTAGTGAGTGGCTCAAGGATGAGATTCAACTCACTCTCTCTGACTTCAAAGCTCCTGCTCTTTCCCTTTCACCACATTACCCCCTCTTCACCCAACCTGATTAAACAGAATCCACCTGTCCAGCCTGGGCAACATGGCAAAACCCCATCTCTACCAAAAATACAAAAAGTAGCCAGGCGTGGTGGTGCATGCCTGTGGGTCTAGCTTCTCAGGAGGCTGAGGCGGGATGATGGCTTGAGTCTGGGAGGCAGAGGTTGCAGTGGGCTGAGATTGTACCACTGCACTCCAGCCTGGGTGACAGAGTGAGACCCCATCTCAAAAAAACAAAAACAAATACAGAATCCACCTGCCATGGAAGGGGGTATTTAGAACCAGGGAGGAAGAGGGAGACAAAAGGAACTCCATCCCTTTCTCAAAGCTGAGCATCCTCAGTCTGGCTGCCAGCCTGAGGGACCCACCTTCCTGGTTCCGGTTTCCCATTGTCTCCCCTGTCCCCAGCTGTCCAGTGGAAAATTTTCTTTCTTCATCAGTTCCCCAGGGGCTGGAGTCCTTTCCTGCTGCTGGATCCCCACCAACTCCTGCTGGGTTTTTCTCCTCCCGTCTACTCACCTATTCAGACTGTGGCCAACTGCCTGGCATTGGGCCATTGCAGACCCTTGACCCTCTGAGGCTCGGCTGGTATCTTGGTCCCCACCAATCTTCTGGTTTGATGGTGAGCTCCTCTACAATGAAGTAATCAAACCTAGGCTACTTCTCCCTCCTGCCACTGCCAATCCCCATTTCGGGCCACCATCATCTCCTGACTGGGCACCTAGCATGCCCTCCAGCCTTGCGTGCCTCCATTCCTTCAACTAGTATGGTTCAAAGTGAATTTACTGAGGTACAACTTGATTAGGAAACACTGCTTGGCTGGGTGCGGTGGCTCATACCTGTTATCTCAGCACCTTGGGAGGCCAAGGCGTGTGGATCACCTGAGGTTGGGAGTTCAAGATCAGCCTGACCAATATGGAGAAAGCTGGCTCTACTAAAAATACAAAATTAGCCGGACGTGGTGGTGCATGCCTGTAATCCCAGCTACTCGGGAGGCTGAGGCAGGAGAATCGCTTGAACCCAGCAGGCAGAGGTTGTGGTGAGCCAAGATTGCACCATTGCACTCCAGCCTGGGCAACAAGAGTGAAATTCCATCTCAAAAAGAAAGAAAAAAAAAAGGAACCTCTCTGCTTATCCTTCAGGATCTTCCCACTGTCCTGTGCATAAAGTCTTGACTCCTTAGCCTGGATTTTAAAGAACTTTGTGGACTGGTGCCTCCAGCCTGTTCTCTCTCCAGTCTCTTCATCCCAGACAAGCCAGTCATTTGATACTGATTACAGTCCCTGAAGGTTTCTAGATGTCCTTGACATACAGTTGGTACTCACTAAATAGTAATTAACACACCATGGCCTCCCGCCGCCAGTCTTTGTACGTGCTGTTCCCTCTGTCTGGAATGCCTTTTCCTCCCCTGTTCTCCCAATTCTGCCTGGTTGTTTTGGACTCTCCTCACATGTGTTCTCAAGGAAGCCCTCCTTGCCCTCCAATGTCAGGTATCTCTTTCTGTGCTCCAATAATACCCTCTGCTTTCCTCTGGAAGCACAGGCCCTGGAGTCTTAACTTCCTGGATTGATTGATTGATTGATTTATACTCCAGTCTGTCACCCAGGCTGGAGTGCAGTGGCATGATCTTGGCTCACTACAACCTCTGCTTCCTGGATTCAATAGATTCTCCTGCCTCTCAGCCTCCTGAGTAGCTGGGATTACAGGCAACCGCCACCACGCCCAACTAATTTTTGTATTTTTAGTAGAGACCAGGTTTCACCATGTTGGCCAGACCGATCTTGAACGCCTGACCCTTGTGATTTGTCGCCTCGGCCTCCCAAAGTGCCAGGATTACAGGCATGAGCCACCGTGCCCAGCCTATATATTTTTGAGACAGGGTCTCACTCTGTCCCCCAGGCTGAAATGCAGTGGTATAATCAGGGCTTACTACAACCTCTGCCTCCTGGGCTCAAGCGATCCTCACACCTCAGCCTCTCAAGTAGCTGGGACTACAGGTGCATGTAGTCCGACTAATTTTCTGTATTTTTTGTAGAGACAGGGTCTCACCATGTTGCCCAGGCTGGTCTTGAACTCCTGGCCTCAAGCGATCTGCCTGCCTTGGCCTCTCAAAGTGCTGGGATTACAGGTGTGAGCCACCGCCCCCAGCCTGCATTTAAATTCTTGGTATGCTACATGCCCCAGCTGTGTGACATTGGGCAAGTCACTTAACTTCTCTGTGTCTCCGTTTCCTCATCTGTAAGACAGAGATAGTATAGTATCTACTAATATGGATTCTATAAGGATTATATGAAACAATGCAGCATCGATGGCTTAGTGCAGAGTCTGGCATATAGTGAACACTCCATAAATGTTAGGTATTGTTATTCCAGCCCACACCATAATCTATTGTAGACACCAGTTCTCTGCTTTGTCTTCCTCATTCTAAGCTCCTTGGGGACAGGAAGTATGTCTCATTTACCACTGAACCTCTCTTAGAACCTGACAAACGTGGTGCTCAACACATATTTATTGAATGGATGAATGAATGAATGACTCACTTTTTGGTTTAGCTCAGCAGACTTTGCCTAATCCTGAAGTTCTTTCTGGATTCCCAAGACCAGTTTTCCTTGCTCTGGCCTGGGCAGGTCACAGCCCAGATTTTATTTATGGCATTTTGATTTCAGATCTAAGGAACTGGACTTAATACAAGACAGAAATTCCCCCAGGTAGTGCATAAGAGAAGTCACCCAGAGTTTGGTAGAAATATCCTCTCGGCACCTCCCTTTGCTCTGATTTGTCATGATGAGGCATGGGCAGCACTCAAATGGAACAGGTCATTCATCCTTTCGGTGAGGGTCTGCAGGGCCAGGTCCTGTTGGGTGCCAAGGATGCTAGAGAAGGTAGGGTATGAGCCCTGTTTCCAGAGCTTCCTAAGGAGTGTCTGGGTCCAGATCTGGCTGGCCAGGCAAGGAGACAGGCAGTTCCGGTGCTGCGTACACACAGCCCATGTCAGGATGTGACCAAAGTGTGGGACTGGTAATCAGGGCAGGAAGGCAGGACCAAGCACTCTGGTTCCTAGGATCTGGAGCAAGTCAAAGGTGAGGGCAGGAGGTGAGCAACTCTGAGAGGAGGCTGAGTGGAGCCCGGCAGAGGTCAGAGTGTATTAGGCAAGGTCCTCCAAGGCCCAGCACCGTCAGGGAGGAGAGCAGCCCCAGTGCAGGGTCTATTGTCAGCCTTGCTCTTTTTTTTTTTTCCTTTCCTTCCTGTCCCCAGGGAGGAGCTAGAAGGCAGAGAGAAAGATACTCAGGACTTCCCATCCCAGAAGATAAAGGTGAGGAAAGAAGCAGCAGCAGCCACAGGCCAGTATTCCAGAGCAGCTTTGGGCTCCTGTCAAGATCTGCTTGGAGAAGGAAGTGGTTGTGGGGCTGGAGGGTGGCCTGTTCCTGAGCTGGCTGCTGGCAGCACAGCAAGGAGGCAACACTGAGAACCTCGGCACGAGGCCCAGTCCTGCTGCTAAACCAACTGTGTGGCCTTGCATAAGTCACTTCACCCCTTGGGCCTCCATATCTCCACTTTGGAAAGGAGTGTTGGGATGATATTAAGGGTTTGCAACCTTCTAACCTGAAGAATTCTTTTTAAAAGCAAAAAAATTTCAAAGACTCCACATGACAGTAATGTTCATTTTGGCATCAGTTGATTTAAAAAATTAGGCTGGGTTTAGTGGCTCATGCCTGTAATTCCACCACTGTGGGAGGCCGAGGCAGGAGGATCACCTGAAATCAGGAGTTCGAGACCAGCCTGGCCACATGGTGAAACCCCGTCTCTACTAAAAATACAAAAAAATTAGCTGGGCATGGTGGTGCGTGCCTGTAATCCCAGCTACTCAGGAGGCTGAGGCAGGAGAATTGCCTGAACCCAGGAGGCGGAGATTGCGGTGAGCCGAGATCGCGCCATTGCACTCCAGCCTGGGTAACAAGAGTGAAACTCCGTCTCAAAAAAAAAAAAAAAAAAAAAAAAAAAAAAATTAGACAGACATGGTGGCATTCGCCTGTAGTCCCATCTAGTTGGGAGGCTGAGGCAGAAGGATCACTTGAGCCCAGGAGTTTGAGTTTGCAGTGAACTGTGGTCCGCCTGCAAATCGCTGCAGCAATCCAGCTTGGGCAATATAGCAAGATTCCAACAATTTTTTTTTCTGCTTCAAAAAGCTTTAGTTCCATTTGTTCCAAAGCTTGTTAGGGTAGTTAGAAAGCTGCCTAGTGGCTGGAGGGAGAGGCTTAGGCAGAAGCCTTGTCACTTTGCAAGGGCCCCTTCAGAAGTCACTGGGCTCAGTAGGCTCTTAGTCGTGCTCGAGAGTGAGCCTTTCGAAGAGATACCTGCCCAGCCCAGCCTGTGGGCCGGCCAGCCTGCAGAGGTTGGTCAGGTGGTCACCCATCTTCTTGATGAGTTTCACTCCCTCATCTAGGAAGTGACTCTCTGGGAAGTCACAGAGATGGGGGTCCATGTGGGCAGAACCCCGGGCATGAAGATCCAAAAGGGCCTGGTTCAGATTTTTCTCCAGGGCCATGGCGGCTTCCATGGCGTCCAGGGTTTTACCCCACTCCTCTTGAACTGGCTTCTTGATGTCCTGGAAGAGAGCACGGCTGCCGCACTGGTTTTGCATCTTCAGGAGATGCTCGTAGCCCTCGCCCTTCCCCTCGGTCAATTCGCAGAACAAGTGGCTCATGCCTTCCAGAGCCACATCATTGCAGTCGAAATAGTAGCCCAGAGAGAGGTAGGTGTAGAAGGCCTGCAGGTATACATAGACCAGGAGGTCAGTGGCAGCCTCCACGTGCGTGGAATAATTGTGACGAATCTGGGAGCTCATGGTTGGTCAGCAAGAAGGAGCTAACCACAAAAACAGTGTTGGCAGGTCCCCAGAAGCAGGAGATGGCTGAGAAGATGGTCCCGGAGGTTGCAAGTGGAGAGGAAATCGGAAGGCGGTCAGAGGCTGGAAGAAAGAGTCCCTGGAATCTGTTCCATCCACTGTCGAAGCAAGAGACAGGTCCGCAGGACTGCTGAACTGCCCCATCTCTATTTTTTTTAAAAAAGGACAAATACAGCCAGGTGCGGGGACTCATACCTGTAATCCCAGCACTTTGGGAGGCCGAGGCCAGCAGATCATGAGGTTAGGAGTTCAAGATCAGCCTGGTTAACATAGTGAAACCCCATCTCTACTAAAAAATATAAAAATTAGCCTGGCACAGTGGCAGGCACCTGTAATCCCAGCTACTCGGGAGGCTGAGGCCAGAGAATTATTTGAACCTGGGCGGCAGAGGTTGCAGTGAGCCAAAATTGCGACACTGCACTCCAGCCTGGGTGACAGAGTGAGTCTTCATGTGAGGGAAAAAAAAAAAAAAAAAAAAAAGGAAAAATACAGCCTTGTGCGGTGGCTCAAGCTTGTAATCCTAGCACTTTGGGAGGTCAAAGAGGGAGGATCAACTGAGGTCAGGAGTTCGAGACCAGCCTAGCCAACATGGTGAAACCCTGTCTCTACTAAAAATACAAAAATTAGCCAGGCATGGTGGTGCAAACCTGTAATCCTAGCTACTCAGGAGGCTGAGGCAGGAGAATCAACTGAACCTGGAAGGCGGATCCTAGCTACTCAAGAGGCTAAGGCAGGAGAATCACCTGAACCTGAAAGGCGGAGGTTGCAGGGAGCTGAGATCGCATCACTGCACTCCAGCCTGGGCAATATAATGAGATCCCATCTCTAATTTTTTTTTTTTTTTTTTTTTGAGATGGAGTCTTACTCTGTTGTCCAGGCTGGATCACAGTGGTATGATCTCAGCTCACTGAAACCTCCGCGCCCCCCACCCTGGGTTCAAGTGATTCTCCTGCCTCAGCCTCCTGAGTACCTGGGATTACAGGCTCCTGCCACCGTGTCAGGCTAATTTTTTTGTATGTTTAGTAGAGACCATCTTGGCCAGGCTAGTCTTGAACTCCTGACCTGGTGATCCACCCTCCTCAGCCTCCCAAAGTTCTGGGGTTCCAGGCATGAGCCACTGTGCCCAGCTATATTTTTTTAAAAAGGAAAAATACAAGGGATACAAGAGTGCTGGGTCAGTGCTTGTTGTTAAAGTCCATCGATGCCAATATGATGGAAAAAATTTGAAAGCAGGGTGATGAGCAACATTTGTTACTTTTTGGCTACCCAGTTTTGGAGTCCCTTCCCAGGTTTGTGGAAGACCCTATCTTTGACGTCTTAGTGGAAGCTGGAGCCTACTGCTTACCTGTCAACATAAAGGCTGAAAACGCCCCATACTTCTCAGCTTCCTTTAGCTGCAGGGCTTAGTCATGCTATTTGGGCTGGGCCAATCAGAGTGCACTGCCCTGGACTGAGGAGCCTGGACCAAGCCAGAGCCCAGCACCGAATCTTTCCCAGTGGAAGTGGCCATAGCTACTGCAGCCTTGTCCAGATTCCACGGCAACAGCAGCAGGGTCATGGTTCAGACCCCAAACATGGTTGTGGCACAGCTGCCCAGGGCTCTGAGAACAGGCCAAGGCTCTCTCAATAGCTTCTGCACCACAGTTCTGGCCATGCTCCTGGCTGCTGTCTGGCACCCTTTGTTTTCATTCACGCCCTTAACCTGGCTCTTCAGCCTTCCCAGAGACTGTGGGCTGCCCAACATCCCTCTCGTCAATCCCTCTTCTGCTTAAAGTCATCCAGAGCCAGTTTCTGTTGCATTTTAAAGTCAGAGTTCTGACCAATTCACAGTCTCATTTCAGTCTCTGCATCCAACTTATTTTTGTATTTTGCTTTGGTACATACGGTTCTGAGAAAATCTGATCATACAGATGGATGGTTATAAATAATAATGATAACAACTATTACCGGCTGGGCACAGTGGCTCCTGCCTGTCATCCCAGCACTTTAGGAGGCTAGGGCAGGAGAATCACTTGAGCCCAGCAGTTTAAGACCAGCCTGAGCAACATAGCAAGACCCCATCTCTACAAAAAAAAAATTTAAGCTAGCCAGGCATGGTGGCGCATGCCTGTAGTCCCAGCTGCTTGGGAGACTGAGGTGGGAGGATTGCTTGAGCCCAGGAAGTTGAGGCTGTAGTGAGCCGTGATTGCACCACTGCACTCCAGCCTGGGTGACAGAGCGAGACCCAACAACAACCACCAAACCACCGCGGAAAACTATTACATAGCACTCCCCATGTGGCAGCCCTGTCCTAATCACTTTGCATATGTTAATTCACTTAACAAACCTTTTGAAGTGGGTCTATCATTAACATCCCTCTTTCATAAATGAGAAAACTCAGGGACAGAAGAGCGATTTGTCCAAGGTCAAGGGCTTAAATCTAGGCAGTCCCAATCCAGGATTTGTCCTCTTAACTCCTGCTAAAGGATTTTTTTTCAGTTTCTGTTTTGAGATTAGAATGGCCTTCAATTAAACCAATCTAGAAGCTAGAAAGGAGAAGTAGTAGAAGTATTTGTTTCAAAGTTGAATGAGTAACTCTCAAAATACCTAACGACTGCTTTTTGGCCTCATCATAAACATAAAAATCAGGCAATAAACAACTAAAACTTAGGACAAATATTGAACAAATAAGATAATGTCATCATTCTGTCGGTGGTGTTCCCTGTTATAGGCCTGGTGGTTTATGGAGGCTGGTACACGCAACTGCAGGAAGCTCTCGGCTCTTCATTGCTTTGCTCTTCATAAGCAGACGTGCCCAGGCTGGCGCAGCACTGCAACATCCGCTCGACACACCCATCTCGGTGCCAGCTGGACTCAAAGATGCTGGGAGGAGCTTGTGCCAAAGTCTGCACAAAGTCGAGTTTAGAAAAAAATACTCTACACAGATGGGGGTTTGGCAAAGGGGTACAGGAGTCAACTGTGTCCCAGGCCAAAGCTGGAATAATGTCACCAAGGATTGCAACCCAAAGTGTAAAATAAATATCTGTGAATCCATACTTACCTAATCTTTATTTAAAAAAGAATAAAAATAGGCTGGGTACGTGGGCTCATGCCTGTAATCCCAGCACTTTGGGAGGCCAAGGTGGGCAGATCACCTAAGGTCAGGAGTTTGAGACCAGCCTGGCCAATTTCAGTGAAACCCCATCTCTACCAAAAATACAAAAATTAGCCAAGCATGATGGCAGGTGCATATAATCCCAGCTACCTAGGAGGCTGAGGCAGGAGAATTGCTTGAACCCAGGAGGTGGAGGTTGCAGTGATCTGAGATTGTGCCACTGCACTCCAGCCTGGGCAACAGAGTGAGACTCCATCTCAAAAAAAAACCCAAAGAATAAAACAAACACCGTATCAGCTAGGTAATCAAAGTCAATATCAACACTCATAAATCATGTTGATAATACATACCCTTGATGTGATATCATGAAAATGACACCTTTATCTCTGCGATCTTCCTTCCCAAGTCTCATAATAACTCCAGTCTACTTGTGAGAAAATCATCAGGTAAATATCACTAGAGGGCCATTGTAGAAAATACTCCAAAACTCAGAAGGTCATCAAAAACAAGGAAAGTCTGAAAAATTGTCACAACCAAGAGAAACCTAAGGAAATATGACACCAAAATGTAAGGTAGTATCTTAAACAGGATCCTGAGACAGACAAAAAGCCTTTAGGTAAAAACTAAGGAAGTATGAATAAACTATGAACTTTAGTTAATAACGTGTCAACATTGATCTATCAATTGTGACAAATTTACCCTCTCAATGTAAGATGTTAATAATAGGAGAAATTGGCCGGGCGCGGTGGCTCAAGCCTGTAATCCCAGCACTTTGGGAGGCCAAGGCAGGTGGATCACAAGGTCAAGAGATCGAGACCATCCTGGTCAACATGGTGAAACCCCATCTCTACTAAAAATACAAAAAATTAGCTGGGCATGGTGGCGCGTGCCTGTAATCCCAGCTACTCAGGAGGCTGAGGCAGGAGAATTGCCTGAACCCAGGAGGCGGAGGTTGCGGTGAGCCGAGATCGTGCCATTGCACTCCAGCCTGGGCAACAAGAGTGAAACTCTGTCTCAAAAAAAAAAAAATAATAATAATAATAATAATAATAGGAGAAATTGATGTAGGAAAGGGGAAGGTAACAGGAACTCTATTATTTGCTCCATGTTTTTGCAAATCTAAAATTTTCCTAAAAAATAAATCTATTAATAAAGAATAAAATTGGCTGCCCTCTTAAAAAAATTAGTTTACCTGATGATGCCACTTAAACCATCAAGGACTTGATATGCTAAAAGTGAGTATTTAACACATTCATATTGTTATGGACTAAACTTTCTAATATACTTTTTTAGAGACAGAGTCTTGCTATGATGCCCAGGCTGGATAGAGTGCAGTGGCTATTCACAGGCACCACCACAGTATATTAAAACTCCGAACTCCTAGGCCAGGCACAGTGGCTCACACCTGTAATCTCAGCACTTTGGGAGACCAAGGTGGGCAGATCACCTGAGATGGGGAGTTCAAGACCAGCCTGACCAACTCTACTAAAAATACAAAATTAGTCGGGCGTGGTGGCGCATGCCTGTAATCCCAGCTACCAGCTACTTAGGAGGCTGAGGCAGGAGAATCACTTGAACCCAGGAGGCAGAGATTGCAATGAGCCGAGATCACGCCATTGTACTCCAGCCTGGGCAACAAGAGAGAAACCCTGTCTCAAAAAAAAAAAAAAAAAAAAAAACCTAACTCCTGGGCTCAAGTGATCTCCCACCTTGGCCTCCCAAGTAGCTGAAACTACAGGCACATGGCACCATGCTTGTCTAATTTTTCAAATTTTCTTGTAGAGATAAGGTCTCGCTATGTTGCCCAGGCTGGTCTTGAACTCAAGCTGTCCTCCCGCCTTAGCCTCCCAAAGTGCTGGGATAATAGGTGTGAGTCACCAAACCTGGTCCCTAAACATTTTTTTGTGTGTTTTGTTTTGTTTTGAGACAGAGTCTCGCTCTGTTGCCCAGGCTGGAGTGCAGGGGCACAATCTTGGCTCACTGCAACCTCTGCCTCCCAGGTTCAAGCGCTCCTCCTCCCTCAGCCCCACTAGTAGCTGGGA